ATATAAGACAGTTATCACAACTAATTAACTATAACTTCATAACATAAATCTTTAGTTAATGCTGAAATTTCTAAATTATTCAAAATATCATATAATGGATTTTACAGTTTGTTTGAATCAGGATCCAAAAAAGATTCATACATTGCAATTGGTTGATAGATATCTTAAAGTCTATTTTAATCTCTGTTTCCTTCTTTCTTGCCCCCCCTGCCACTTTTTAAAAATTTTGTTGTGCAAATGGGTTATTTGTCCTGAAGTTTCCTACAGTCTGGAGTTTCTGATTGAATCCCTGTATGTTGTTTAATATGTTACTCTATCCTCTTCATTTTCCATAAAATTGACATTTTTATTTTTTAAAAGTTAGAATCAGAGGCACTATATAATTCAGATTTTCTTTTCTTTTCTTTTGGAAAACCTTTTCATAAGAAGTTGGTATTCTATCTGAAGGCACATAATGTTCACTTTTCTCACTTTTTGCAATGTTAGCAGCCACTAATGATCAGTGCATAGATCCATTGGTTCATTAGGGGTTTCTTCATAGCTTCATATCTGGGATATTTTTATAAAGAGATAGTTTCCTGCTATTTTACTAAAACAACAATAGTAAAGAGACTGTGGCACTTGGTATTTTAAGAGAAGTAACTATCCAGGTAAAACAGGAAAACCAGTTTTGATCTATACTAACTAGTACCACTAATTAAAGGGCGAAAATGGGGCCTTTTTTATTAAGGGACACTAATGCATTAGAAACTAAAATGTAGTTTGTACTTAAAGGTTCAATATAAATGAAGGCTGTAGAGTGAAAGGGAAAAAGTGCGTCCGTTCTTGTTAAGACACTCAAAAATCTTTTCTAAGTTATATTACAGTTTCATAGTTGTCTGTACAAAGAAGGAGAAACACTTTGAGATCACCATTTTACATCTACCTATTACTCAGGCTTTGTGACAAAAAGTTTTGTTTCTAGATCTAGATGCCACTGCAGAAAAGGTGTGTTTCACTCATATGGGGTAACTCTAGAGCATTTACCCCAATCGTCCCAAGTCAATAGAAATCTTCTGCCAATGAGAGGGAAATTGGGATCCTGAGAGAGCAAATCAGATCTGCTTTTCTTGAAAGTGACTCCACATAGCAAGGAGAAGCCTGTCCAGCCATCAGATAGATAGGTGGGTCCAGTTTAAGGCTTCCCAGAGTTCTGAAATGAACCACCACATAAATGAAGACATATTTATTCTCATTTGTGGGCATTCTTTGGAAATTTCCATATCTTTTTATAATCATGTAACTCATACAAGGTAAAAATGGGTTTGTAGATCTTTAAGGAAATGCTGTGAACACACACAGAAAAGAAATGTGACTGGGGGACTTAGAGGGAGTTCCATGGAAATGGAGAAACATAATTTGAGGGGAAGATTCGATCATTCAACAGCTTTTTATTGTATGCCTGCCTACTCTGTACCTTGACATTGTCTCATGGTAGATTCAGTTAAATCTGTTTTCAAATTCTGCATCAAACCCTCCCCACGTGGCCTTAGGCAAGTTACTAAACCTCTGTGCCTCAATTTCTCCATTAGCAAACTGTAGATGCTAATATCCATCTCAGAGTTTTTGAAGTTGAATAAAGAAAAGACCATATAAAGACCATATAAAATGCCTAATACAGTATCAGGCAGATACAGAGCATTCCACGGAAGCTACCCCCATAGTATCACTTTTCTCCATGAAGAAGGAAAAAAATGACAGAGAAGGAGGGTGGGTAGGGCACAGGGCCTAAGAAGTAAGGATGTGAAAGGGTTATTGCAGGATGGGAAAATAACTAGACAGACTCAAGTAAAATAATTGAAGGCCTGGCTACAGTTCCCTGCTACCCTGAGGCCACAAATAGATTTCATTTGTCTACTTTCAGGTATTTGACCAGAGAGGTAAAAGATGGAGGTTTTCCCAGCTCAGTTCAATTTATATGGTTAGATAGCTTTGCCAAATGGAAAGGACTAGAATAGTGAATTGGAATGTCTTAATTGACCTAAAGTTATCCCGTTCATGTTTGATGGAGAGAGTGAAGGGGGATAGAGAGAGGGTAAGGCAGGTAAGGAGAATCAGTTTAAATGTGAGAGTCATCACTGAGGAATAGGATGATGGTTTTTCTTCTCCAATGGGAAATGAGTTAATTGAATTTGAGAATAATTTCTCAGGGAGAAAAACTCCCTCCACTCTTTCCCACACCCTACCTTTATTATTTGGCTTTTGCAAGCATACCACAATATAGGATTATAAATTCGGTTTATATCTCCCTTAGCCCAGTCTCCCTTTATTACACCGCTTTACTGCTTCTTTGGGGCTGAGATTCTAAAATTTGGGTCAAATGTTCCATTAAGCTAACCACTTTAGAATACCAATAACACTCCTACAGCACTTTTCATCTTCATAGCAGTTCACAAACATCTCCTTCTCCACTAATGAAGATGAGTTGAGTATCTATAGTATCTAAAACCAGAGCTATTTAATCATTGTCTGATGTGAAAAAGTAAGACAAAATGCAAGACCAACAAAAAAAAGTATACTACATTTTAAACTTGCTGATTTGAGCTTTTTAAAAATTCTTTGAACGTGCAGGCAGAACTCCTGCCACAAAATCCCAGCTTTTGTAATGAAGAGTCAAAATAAGAATAGAAACAACATCTTAGGGCTGGTTTTAGCCCTTCCTATCTTTCAGGGTGTTTTTATTCTATTTGATCTTCATGAAAACCAGTGAGAAGAAAAGGAATTGTTATCCCCACATTTTTGTGATTAATTAACCTGTTTGAGTTTTGAGTTACTAAATATTTGTGCTGACACTAGAACTCCAGACTTCAGGCTCCAAGTCAAAGGCTGCTGGGGAAGGAAGGATGGAGGCATTGAGAGGGAGTGCATGTTTACCCTGCTCTTTCAACTAAAGAAACTCCATTAGCAATATTACATTTGGGGCTTCCATGTGGATTTCCACAGTTCAATTTCATTAGAATCTCATCACACAGAGTATGTAGCATCTCCTCTATTGTTCATGACCAGCTAGATTGTGAGTTGCATTCCAAAATTACATTGAACAGGATTGCAAAGCTCCATTCCTGGCAGGTTGCAGTTACATACTGTACTCTTTCCCCTCTGCATGGCCCCAAATCATTCATTCAGCTTTAACACTAACTAGCTGTTCTGGCCAATGGAGCTGACTGATGGCCTTTGTATGGACCAACTCTCTCTCTTGACTTCCTTTTCTTCTATACAAGTCATACTAGTCATGCTTTCCTGTTTACTACTGGTCACTTTCACCATTGTGGGTCTCTTTGACAAATCAGCATGCACACACGCACAGGACTGTGACCCTATTGTGGATGGCCGTGATGCCTGGTGTCTAACATGGGGTGTGAGCTCAGGACTGTTGAAGACACAAACACTGGTTCTTTAGCCTCCCTATTCTTTCTCTTTTTGCACAAACTCTTCCATCCTTTTAGGAGAGGCTCTTTGTATGTTTTCTTCTGTGTTCTTTCTTCTCACTCCCCATCTCTTTAGTCTTTCTATGACCATAAAATAACCACCCATTGCAGACAAGGTAAAGCCAGTTGCTCTGTATTTAAAAAAAAAAAAAAATGAAGCCATTCCTTGTGAAGGAAATTAAGCAAGACAAATATTTAGTACCAAGTGACTATATTTTTTAAAGTGCCTTTAGGTCCAGAGTCGTCAGAGTCTTCCATCTATAATCGCTTGCGTTTTTTTACCAGCACCCCTTGAAAACTCTTTTCTCCTTTTCATCCTTCAAAATTCAGTTCAAATGTCACTTCCTGCAAATCCTTTACTGACATCCTGAGGCAGACTCCATCACCCCTTCTGGAATATCCCACAGAAATCTGAACTCTCCTTTAGTATAGTACGTCACACATTATGTTCAATGCAATTGTATCTGTGCCTCTTCTGTGCTAAAATAAGAGTTGGGTTTTGTTTGTTTTGTTTTGTTTTGTCCTTCTATCTCTAGCAGCTAATATACAGACTAGCCTGGTATGTAGATATAGATGCACAATTTTGTTGTTGTTGAATTTGATTTAGATAAATGAATGATCACTTTGGCTTCAAGAAAAAAGGTTCATTCTTACTCAATTTGTATTCTACTTTTGGAGTGGGATTGTTTTCTACTATTCACTGAAATTTGAGGTGTATTTTTTAGCTGTCCTATGAGTTGTATATATTTGATGACAAATGAGCATCTTAACATAGAAATTCTTTCTATGGAAAAATATGGTTCATTTTCCAATATGTTCAAACATACACAAAAGAATAGAGCTTCATCCAGAACTAGATGATCTTTCGCTTTTCCTTAATGTCTGCCCTATTCCTGCCCCCAGAGCTTCACCACATACAGAATTTATCTCATTCTCTCCACTCTCCCATGGAGAGTTTGGCTTTCTATTATGTACCTTGCAATCTGCCTTGAATCCATCATTTATGTATCTTCCCTGTCAAATCTATTTCTCAGAGGATAAGCACTATGCATTTTTCATTGTTGATTTTTTACAATGGGGTTTCAAAGCACAGTATACAGAATAAGTGCTCAGTAAATGGTGGGCTAAATTTTTCTCTGCACAGTTAAAAAAAAAAGCTCAGTAATTGAAAGTAGAGGAATGTTGGCATTTGATTGAAATATTGGGGATTTGATTGAATATTGAGGATATTTCCGTCCCAGGTTGAACAGTGCCTAGTTTCCTATCATTTGCCATCTGAGCTCCAAATGTCCAAATTCCAGTCTTCACAGGCTGTCTTCCCTCCCTTTTCCGTCTTCTATTCTTTTCTCTAAAGATGAAAGGAAGAGAAATGAGATAGTCCTATTAAAAAAGCATTCGTTTTCATCCTTATTGTTCTTATGTGGGCACTTCATTATGAGATGTTAATTGTGCAACACTCTAAAGACCTGTTTTCTAAGAACAAAATGTTCTAGTCATTCTAGTATATTAAAAAGTGTTGTTTTCTGCTTTTAGGCTACAATGGTGGCTGTGTTGTCATGCGAGGAAGGAGTCCACCTGGTCGCTGGGAAGTGAAGGACTGCAGACACTTTAAGGCAATGTCCCTGTGTAAGCAACCAGTGGGAAAACAGGAGAAAACGGAGCAGGAAGAGAGATGGCCCTTTCACCCCTGCTACTTGGACTGGGAATCAGAGCCTGGCTTGGCCAGCTGCTTCAAGGTGATGCCAAGGGTACCTAGGCATTCTCAATGGGACCAACATTGTTTCAGTTTTGTCCACGTATCCCAAATTCCCTTACTCCAGAACAGTGCCTGGCACACAGCGGGTACTTAATATTTGTTGACTGTCTCTGTCTTTTCAGTTATATTCCAAAATAATTTTAAGTCAAAAGACTGACATATTATCCCTGGTGATACTGAAGACCTCTTCTTGAAGATTGATATCAAGGCCCCAGTCAATGTTGTTCTTATTGCATAATATCAAATGAACAAGGCAGATGCTCACCGGGTATTGAAATGGTACAATTCCATAGTTTGTAAGAAAATGAATAAAGTCTTTATTATGGAATAATACCATTCTGCTGCTAAAAATAGCTTTTGCAACTTGCCGGACACCTGAGAGTCAAACAAATTAATACATACAGTTGATACATATGTGTGTGTGTATATATATGTGTGAAAAAATGTGTGAAGAAATGTCTTTTTGCATATCAGCTTTAGATCCTAGATGTAAATCAGTACCTACAATCTTCTTGTCATGACACATCTGTGAATGCATTCAGTTTAATGTACACATATACAACCCTACATTAAATTCATCGGGTAACAGTGATCTCACAAAGCAATAAGTTAAACTTTAGAAATTAGCAAACTGAGGCAGCAAGATGAAGTGATTTGCCCAAGATCACAATTATTTATTAACAGAGTTGGAATAAATCCCTGGTCTTGGGCCCCCCAGTCCAGTGCCTTTTCTACTATATATTACCCTGATATGTCAACAAATGTATGGTGTGTTTGATGGGCATGGTGGTGGGATTGATGAATTTTAAGTGATTCAAGAAAAAGTTCCCAGAGGTGAGTTTTGACATATAATTTAAAAGATGGAAAGGCTGTGCTGTGGCCCACAGCTATTCATTCTGGTCTCAGCAAATCAGAGTCTGGTGAAGCCTGGCCGCAGGGTGCCTTCCTGGCATTAGAGACTCTGGCATAATGTCAGGCAGTTAAAAACGAGGAGGGCACAGAGGCCTACGATATGGAGTTCTATGTTTTTGGACCCTCACCCTTGATCCTAAATAGAGTCAGAAGTAGACTCTCCATTTACTGACGTCTTCCTGCTACTGTGAGGACAGCTAAGAAACAGCAGAGAATTTAGGCACAGCTAAGACCCAAAGACCTTAGTAATATACCTGCCCTAGGTCCCAGATCTCATTTCTCATTTCCTGCCATGGGTCAGCCAGATTCATGATCATTCAGCCAATTCTAATTTGTCAGAAGGCAATCTGGTGGGATAGGAATTCATGGGCTCTTGAAGCAAGGAGTACCAGATCTAATCCTAGCTCTGCCTATTTGTAGCTGTGTGACCAGAAATTTATAACCTCTTTTAGCCTGACTGTCCACATCTCTTAACAAACATTTATTAAGGGACAAGTATATGCCAGTTACAGGAAGTTTAGAAGAAAAAAAAAAGAGTTCTCAAGGAGTTTATTTATAAAACTGAGCTCATTATATCCTCCTCATGAATTTGTTGTGAGAATAAAATGAGATAATAGTTTTAGATGAATAGACACATTCTAGTTCAATAAATGTTATTTCTCCCTACTGGGTCAAGCTTTTACTATAGAATAATGACAATTATATTACTGTTATTTTCTTGTCCAGAATTAAACAGCCTCACCTTATCCATGATAGTGTCAACTTTTTTTTCTCCTACTAAATCAGGTATTTCATAGTGAAAAAGTTCTGATGAAAAGAACATGGAGAGAAGCAGAAGCATTTTGTGAAGAATTTGGAGCTCATCTTGCAAGCTTTGCCCATATTGAGGAAGAGAATTTTGTGAATGAGCTTTTACATTCAAAATTTAATAGGTAAATACTTGTTAATTTTGAAAAAATGCAATCAAATTTTCTGTTTCCCAGTAATGACTTATTAGGGATGAGTATCCCAAATATTTGTTTAAAATCTCAAGTATTTGTCTTAAGCCTAAAACCAGCTAGCTACTAGTTGTGAAAGAAAAATATACACATATAGTTTTATATTTATATTGCACCAAGTTCTCATTCCATAAAACAACAAAGTGGCAATCGTTTTGATATCTGAAATCTTTTCTGTATACCTCAAATCAGAATTTCAGAGCTCTTCGGCCAAACTCAAATTATCTAACCCCATGATTTTCAAAGTGTTGTCTGAGGATCCTGAGAGTCCTGGAACCCCAAGACTAGGGAGGGGACCAAGTGGGCAGAGGCCCTAGTTCCATCACTGACTCACCAGAGCAGCTCCCACCAGCTCCACTTCTGCTTATTTTGTACAGATTAGGAGTCCATGTAAGATTTTGTTTGGGGGGGAAAAAAAAGTCACACTGATTGAAAAAAAAAAAATTCCAATCCACGTCCTAATTTTACATTTGAGGAAACAGGTATTCACTTGTCAGTATCCAGCTTGTAAGTTTCAGAATCTTGAATTACATGGTTAGAAAATCAATTTAATTTAAATTTGAAGAAACATAAAAGGCTTGTGCTATATTTTACCCAATGCAAAAATTCCTTCCTGTGGTCACCTACTATCTGCACAATTCCTTTCAGAGTGCTCCTTATTTGGGAGAAAGCCCATTCCATTGTTGGAGGCTGGTTTCAAAGATCAACTTTCCAGTAAGCCAGAGCCATACAGGTCAAGTCGACTCTATTTTTGAATACTTGAAGACAGCTATTATGGTCTTTTTTAGTGAGTTTTTTCATCCATTGGCCTCTTTCTCTAAAATATTCTTATCAGTTAGCATACATTTTTGGAATATCTTCTATGGGAGGGGTACTTTAATATGCATAGCTGGCTGGAGAATGCAATAAACAAAATAGACAAAAATCCTGCCCCTGAGAAAGCAGTATGGCTCCATGGCTCCATACATTTATTTCATAAAAACAAATGTTAACTCCAGGTACTATGTTCCAAGCTCTGGAAATCTGGAGTCTCAATGAAATGCTTGCCTGAATTACAGAGAAAATCCAAAACTATTTTTTGAGGACAATCCTGGCCTTCCCCATAGTTTTCCTTTGGGACACTCCAAAAGAATATTAATATGCAATATCTACCAAATTATTCATCTCTAGCATCTACAGTAATGACCTTAATGGTAGGAGCCTTTGACAACATCTCCCAATGTGAGTCTCATAGAGTACTGTTGGGGTAAGAGTCAAATATGTTGGCAAAACAAAGCACAAACTTGGAAATCTGCCATATGCATTAGCATTGTAAAGGCTTCTGGAAGGAAGCATTTTCTTCAGCCACAAACCTCTTTTTTTGAGGACACTTATCAACATCCCATGGAACTGCTAGTCCCTGTGGGAAATGCTGACCTAAACTGCGTTTCCCAAATCTGACTGATTCTCACACTTACTTGGGACACCTTTTGACACGGAGCCGTCCGGCCTCACACCAGAGCTGCTGAGTCAGATTCTCTGAAACTGAAGAAAATTTCAAGAAGCTTCCTAATTAATTGGACTGTAAGTCTGGTGTGGGGCCACAGATCCAGGGGATATGGGATAGTCTACACTGTTCTAAGTTGTAACTTTTCTTCATGACTTTAGCACCTTGCAAAACATCCTTTCATACTTGGGTATAGTGAGGTTTGCTATATGAAATAACCACATGCAAACTACTTCCAAATTTGCTGTAAGATCAAATATCATTATGTCATAAGTTCTCACACTTGAAATTTCTTGTGAAATTTAATGCCAAGCATCTATCAAATTGTTAATCTTTAGCACTTCATCAGAAAAGCTATATAATTTTACTTTGTATCCAGACTGCCAGGGAGTTTAACAAAATCTCATGCTTGATTATAGCAAATAAACCAGTTCTCATAGTAGCATACATGCTTGTCCTTCTTATGGCACTGTTTTTTAATTTCTATTTTATTATTTATTATATTATTAAAAAGTACAAAATTATAGGACATTGATGAAGAGAAAATTAATACCATCTAGGATCCAGTACATTTCAGGAAAAATGTAGAACTCTGAATTCAGTAAGTAAAGGAATAAAAAGTTCTCAAGGCAGGCGAGTGATATGAATTCCCAGCCTAGGTCATTGATGTTAAGGTACCTGGCTTAACCTTAAGGCAGCATCCTCCACCTCCACAACCTTGTGAATTGTAAATTGTAATCAGGGCAGTCACCAACCAGGCCACAATGATCTCACAGATTTCTAAGACACATTTTACTTTCAGTTGTATCGTTCAGGCACAATAGCTCACATATCTGAGAAGGGGATGCTTCAGAATAGGCTTGCTTCACTGCAGTAACAAAAATAAAGCATCTGTCATGACTTCTGAATCTTTTAAATCTTTAATTCTCCAAATTATTCTTAGAAAATTATCTTAGTGAGATGGTTTGTTGTACAATTAGACTTTATTGGTTGATTTATTGAGTACTCTGTGGTTTGATGTATTTGTCCTTTGCCTAATTGGAGGAAAGATGTTTCTCTGTGGGGATTCTCGCCAAGTCTAACCCAGGGGTGACTGCTGAAGTGAATCTACTGTGCCTTGGACTGATTTGCTATGAAATTATTTATGTTGGGCTCTGAAAAAACAAAACCCCAAATCTGCTGTGTACCTTTTATTAAAGGAGGTGGTGGTAATTAACCTCCAAAGAACATGAACATTTGACAAAAAAGCAAAAAATCAAAGCATAGGGAAGTGGTAAATACATAGTAAAGTAGTAAAAAGTCCTCTAGGGAAAAGACATTCCAAAATTTCCTACCAACTTGATTTCGTGTGTTCTTATCCTACTTGAAAGATGTTGCCATTCCTAATGAATATGAGAAAGCAGTGTTCTCAATATGGGTTAACTTTTCCCTCAACTGCATGTCACCAGCGAGCACACCATACAAGCCAAGAGAAATAGGAAGCCAGGCTAATCTTCTCTACATTCATCTCATAGCTCAGGTTTTGCATATAGGAAATGTTAATAAATGTTTGCTGACTTGATCTATCCTGCCAGGAGTATCAGCTGTTTTCCTGTGCACATAAATACTTTAAAATATTTCTTGGACCTATTACATTATGTTGTGAATTCAATAGGAAGAGCCAAGTCTTTGTTTTTTCTCTTCACAGGACAGAAGAAAGGCAGTTCTGGATTGGATTTAATAAAAGAAATCCACTGAATGCTGGCTCTTGGGAGTGGTCTGATGGGACTCCTGTAAGTTTTTCCAAACTGAAGACAAGGAAATGAATTCAAAACAGGGGGCCCTGGAACACCTTGGTCAACCAACCAAGAGAACCTGGAAATAATGACCGTATTTCCTGTGACTCAGACTCAGATCAAAAACTGCACCAGATCTTGGTACCATAAGTTATTTTTGCAAAGTCCGGGGAAAACTTCACAAGCCACATAGTTCTGAGGCCAGCTGTAGGATCTCATCCTGGAAAGGAATCAAAATCTCCAAAAACCACCCCAAACTATCTCCCATGTGAAGAGTCTTGAGAAAGAAGCAACTATTGTTTAAAATAATATTAAGCTCTCTTTACTCCACTTTCCCTCTCTAGCTTAGTACCTAATTATAGGAATGTGGGACCCTTGTCCAGATCACGATGAAAAGAACCATTCTGGTTTATCTCTAAAAGGACAGAAGTGCCAGCCTTAGAAATACCATCTCCTTCTCAACCAGAGCAAGTTATTCGGTTGGAAAAAAAACCTTGCTTTTCTTTCAGCCTCATACTTGTAAAAACCTCTGTGAAGGAAAGAAGGAACTCACTATTACATTTTTTTTTCAGGTTCAATGAGGAATTCTCCTATTTTCCTCAAGATGATAGGGAAAAATGGAAGCAGTATCCCAGATTGAAATGAGATCCATCTGAAGGCACATGCAAAATCAATGTATTCAGTTACACCTGTGAAATAAGAGGCTAGCAAGAGCCTGCAGTGAGCACTTAACGCAGCTCCTATTTATTGAGCCCGGATTATATTGCAGACATGGGTTGAATGCATTGCTGCATGATCTCATTTCACCCTTATAATGATTCAGTGCAGTGGTTATTAGAATGCTTAGTTTGCCTAAAATAATGCATAAGAGAGCCAGGATCTGTACACAGGTTGTCTGCCTCCAAAGCCATGATGTTATAATGTCTCCTAGTTGGCAAAATAGCAGCAGCCCAACTTTGAAATAGTAAAGATCCATAGAGAAAAATGATCTTTAGTCCCACTAGAGAAAATTTGTGGCAAGGAAAGCATCTGTGGAAAACTATATGTGGAAAACAAAAACAATGACATGCTAGTTAAACATATAACACACATACATATATATATATATATATATATATGAATATATGAAACATTTCCACCTCTGTACTGCTTCTCTGAGAAGGGTATCAGGACCAGAGAGTAAGAAGAGACCTTAGAGATCACCCACCCCATCCATCTATATTGCTATCAAAGAAACTGAGGCCCAGAGAACGGAAGGAACTTAGCAGGGTCCACCTGCTGCATAAATGGCAGTCACCACATGGCATAGTTGGGTGGTTAATGTCAGTGTGGCACCTGGAAAATGAAATGTGATATGTAGAGGCTGAGAATGCTTCCTTTTGTTTTAGTGAAACAATCTTATTAGTGATAGAGAGGAATAGACAGTTTGGTTCAGAATAAATGAAATAAAGCCATGAAGCAGCACATGGAGTTCCTCCCTACCACTCCCTACTGGACAAAACAAATATTCAAACTCCCACAATTGTCTGAATCTGAGCTTACATATTTTTAAGTTAGAGGAGTTGTATGATTGTGTACGTGTTTGAAGAGGAGTATAAATGTTTCAAACATCCTCTTTTTCCCGAAGTTTTACTCCAGTTTTACCTGTGGTCCATCCACTCTTCTGTTAGGTAGCCATTAAATCATTGAGAAGATCAAATTTTTATTTAACATTCGCCTTACATGACCATTCATGGAAAGCGTTGGAGTTTCCCAATTAAAGCTAGGGATAACTTAGAATTTAGTGATTAAAGACTAAAAGCTTAATGTATATGCAAAAGAATCTGCATCACAGATGAGACCCAAATGTGACAGGTCAGAGCCTTTCAGAAGCGTACCCAGGATCCCAGGGCTAGCCTGTTGTGGCCAGTGAGACAATAGCGCAAGTTCAAAAGGGAGCTTACATCTCATCTGTTCCTTCTGGAGAAAGGAGTAGCTTGCCTCTTTTTAAGAAAAAAAGCATCTTTAAGGAAAAATGCTAGTTTGGTTAGCTTGTTCTTCACAAATGTGGAACAACCTTTAACTGCAGTCTTATCCAGACATTTCTTAAGCTTCCTCCAGAAGTCTATTGTGATTTATTTACAGAGATGCTTCTTTTGAGCTTTTGAAACTTTTTGTGGGGGATCATCGTTAAGAAATAACGAACTTCATCTGCTGCAGGTTGTCTCTTCATTTTTAGACAATACTTATTTTGGAGAAGATGCAAGAAATTGTGCTGTTTATAAGGCAAATAAGACATTGCTGTCCTTGCACTGCAGTTCCAAACGTGAATGGATATGCAAAATTCCAAGAGGTAAAAATATTAATAAGATCTTTACTATCTGTTTGCTTTCTAATAATCTACAGCACTTTTCCAAGCGAAGAGTTATAGAAATCTAAAATTTAAACATCCCGGACTACAGTACCAACAACCATCACGCGAACCAAACTGTACAGCAAAGAATGCCTCGTAGGGGAATGAGAAAAGGTGACACCAGGGCAGTATGCTAATTTAGTTAATAGGAAATGAGGATAACCAACTCTATTGTGGAATATGGTATTTTTCGAGTACAATCTGGAAGAAATGTCACTGTGACTTTACAAGCAAACAAAATTACTTGTCAAATGAGTAAGTGAAAGCACCTAACACTGTGTGACACACAGTAGGCCCTTGACAAGTGTTCGCATCCTTTCTTCTTTAATCAGAGGCCTGTCTTAAGCCTCCTCTTCAAGTATGAGAACTAACCATATTTCAAACAGCACAGAGTACCTGGTTTTTAAATGGTCTCTTAAAAAGCAAAGTACAAAATACCGTGTTTAGAGCTGAAGTAATTCAGAGATGGTGCACTTGTGAAGAAAGGTCACTCAAGATGGTTTGCTTTCACTTTGCAGATGTGAGACCCAAGATTCCACCCTGGTACCAGTATGGTAAGAACTATCCTGGCAATTCTTGCATTTCTAATTACGTGCCATTATATACCATTACTGTATTACTACAGTCCTCCAATCGAGCCTCTCTTTTCTTATGTCAATCTAGAACAAATTTGTTCAAATTAACTAATTAATGGTCAAATTAACAAATTCATTAAATGATTAAAGATTAATATAATAACACTGTTTTCGTGACACGTGATTTTAAAATAGGCATTTATCCCAGACCTTGCAATGCAAATGAAGTTTTCTTAGATAAGATAAACCAAGAAAAATAAGCAAATTATATACTTAGTTATGTGTGTGTAAATATACTTATTTATGTATATCACACGCACACACACACATACACTTTTCTTTAATGCTAAGTGACCAAATTACAAATTTGGCGTCAATCATAGCATATCCTGTTTCAGTCTGCATCACATCAGTCAATGGCTTTTGCATCATTTGCACTGGTTTTTGTTTTTTTGGTTTTGTTGTCTTTCAGATGCTCCCTGGCTCTTTTATCAGGATGCGGAGTACCTTTTTCATACCTATGCTGCAGAATGGCCCTCCTTTGAGTTTGTCTGTGGCTGGCTGCGTGGTGATCTTCTCACAATTCATTCTGCACATGAGCAAGAATTTATCCACAGCAAAATAAGAGCGGTATTTGAATACAATTAATCATGAGAAATTCAGAGCTTAGCTCCTTCTTCTGTCATTGGGGGGATTTTTTTTTTATTTGACTTCAGACATTTATTTAAGTTTCATTTAAAACCACAGATTTTTGAGAATTGATTTTCTTCCTGTTATAGGGATTAAGAGAAAATAATGGAAACACAGGTTTACAATGTTGGTCGATCATTTCACTTATTTTCATTCTTTATTAGCAACAGTTATGAATAAGTAGAGTTCTATTGCTTTAATGAGGTTCATCCAATCATCAGCACATATTTATTCAGAGTCTACTCTTCTAAGGGCTGGGGCTCTATCAGTGATTAAAATAGATCAAAATTCCTGCCCTTGGGGAGCTTATAGTCTAGTCTGGGAAGAAAGACTGTAATCAATATAAGTACATAGCATTACATAATATTTTATTAAAAGATAAATAGATAAATGATATGGAGGAAAATAAAGCACAAATGAGGGACAAGGTGTACCGGAGGGAGGGGGGGGCATGCGCATGGCTATTTCAAAGTTTTGAATTTTACTTACAAGAATATAATACTTTTAAGTCTATAAAGACTCAATATTCATAAAATGAAAAGGAGTGGTTTTCCGTTTCAATTTAAGATAAAGACTTGGACAATCTTTGAGGAGCTAGGCTAATTGGAAAGAAGCATGCAAAACCTGTTAAATAATGAAGCAGAGTGCCAAGGAATAGTGTACATTTTCAGTATATTTCTTCAACAAGCATTTATTGAGCATTAGGTATGTGTCAGGCATTGTGATATTTGTCAAAGACATAAAAATGTCAACAACACAAAAATGAGATACAGTCTCTGTTGTTAAAAAAGCTGGAAATAATAATAAGTGAAAAGGGAGCAATATGTACAAAATTATCAAGGGGACATTAAGGGAGGAAACTCACTCCCAATTTTCCCTAGGAAATCTTTGAAAGTAAGAAAAAATTTTTTTCTTTTCTAAAATTTAACATTATTTCATGATCACCAGGAATCCTTTCTTGAGCTATCATCTTTTCACATGTTTGTAAGTTGATTGTTGAAATGAAGCTCTATATTTAAAGCATCCTTGTCATGTAAGAGAAATGTCTTCCCTTACAGCTCATGGACTTTTCCATTTCTATAATCCTGTTTGATGCATAGACAGCCTGCAAGGTGCAGGTAGATCAGGACTACTACTGAGTTGTGATGGAAAAAACTGAAAAACAGGGGGGTTAGGTGACAACCCCACAGTTCCATAGAGTCTCAGTGATAGACCAACCACAAGAACGAGATATTCCCCACTATTGGTTTGTGTGCTATTTTTTACCACCCTTCCTCTCCTACAAATGGAACACTCAAGCCAAATCCATGTTAAGCATCAACATGATGTCAGAAAATACGTTCATTTAACAAGACAACAGACTCCTGGTGGCAAATAACAAGACATTAGGTCAATGTCTGAAAACAAATCCATCCATCAACATGACAAAGTGCATGTCTCAAATGGAACTGATATTTGGCCAATACTTATTAAAACTGCATCAGGCACTGTGTTAAGTACTAATATTTAATGGCATTTAATCTTTCCAAGGACTCTCTGTGGGAAGTCTATTATCAGTACTTTACCATTGAGGAAGCTAAAACTCCAAAGAGGTGAAGCAACTTGGTTATTTCCACACCAACTAAGTGGTGGAATCTGGAAATGAACCCAGGCCATCTGACTTACAGGGTCATTTAAAAACCTTCTGCTGGTAGCAGAACAGCAGTGTGGGGGGTATAGGAGCACAATGTCTTCGTTACATCAAAATCAAAAAGAGTTCTAAAATCCCTCTCCAAAAGATGGTGTCAGCTCTGTCTCAGACATGAGCAATGAAAGGCATCTTTGATCTTTCCAACAGAGCTTAGCTCCCCTAGGAATATCTGCAGGTCTCCTCTCTTCACCTTTCCCTGAATTTACTCTCCCAATTACTAGTGGTTGGGAAGCCAGTGAGGATGGAAGAGTTAATACCTTCCACAGAAGGGAATAGTAAAACCCATGGGTTTAGCTGTTTGAGAAGTCATACCCAGTGCCATGATACTAATTGAGGGCTAGATCTAGTTGTGATATCAAATCAGACAAACCTTGTGGTGTCTTACATGGCAAAATTACTACCCAGCCTGTGACCATGTTGATACAGAATGCCTTGTCAGTTTGATGGGTGAGCAGCTGACTGATCTAACACCACACTGTGCTACAAAAGAAAATTACTTGGTGGTTTAAAATGTGTAGAATGAAAAGGGGCAAGGAGCTAAGGGAAAAGGGTATCAATTTAGAAAGAAGAAAGCTATAAGTTCCCAAAGCAGTTCTTTTTATCGCATAATCTATGGCTGTGTTAGGCACTTTTTGGTGGTGGTAGGAGTGATATTTATGGTGCCCATTTACACTTCATGAGTAAGAAATTCCGTATCTATGAATGTTGTACTAGAATGAGTCTATCCAGAGTGATTTTATTCCAGGATGAGGAACTAAACATGTAGAGATCATACCACCCACTTTTGTGGCATACTCATTCTATAAGTGCAGGAAGAATCAGGATAGTAATTAAATATTTTTTAAAAGATTTTATTTAGTTATTTGAGAGAAAGAGACAGAGAAAGCGACAGAGAGCATGAGGGGGGAGGAGAAGGAGAAGCAGACTCCACTGAGCAGGGAGCCCCACGTGGGGTTCGATCCTAGGATCCTGGGATTATGACCTGAGCCAAAGGCAGATGCTTAACCTTGACTGAGCCACCCAGGTGCCTCTAATTAAACATTTTTAATATTACATATGTGTTGTATAGTTTCCCTATAAAGAGTAGTAACTTAGAAATGTGAAAAACAAAAATAACATTTAGTTGGAAAGTGAAAGAACTATTGAAAAAGAAAGCTGGATGCAATTTTTTAAATCTGAAGCAGATTTTTTTTTAACAAAATGTTTCTATCTTGGAAAAGTGGTTAGTCAGTATTTTCTCTTTGAGTAACAGAATACCACAGGCATGATGAGAGTGAATTTTTGAGTACTTCTTTTTTGAGCCATCTTGTTGCTTAGATTAATGCCAAAAAAGTAAAAAGCCATAAGCACTTTAGGAGTTGTTTAACATGAACTACTAGTCAATTAATCCACTAACATTTTTATGCTGTGTTGTGTAATATTTGCATTTCAAAATTGCAATTTACTCTTATTTTTAATTTCATGTCTAGGGGCGCCTGAGTGGCTCAGTCGCTTAAGTGTCTGCGTTCAGCTCAGGTCATGATCCCAGGGTCCTGGGATTGAGCCCTGCATCGAGCTCTCTGCTCAGCGGGGAGCCTACTTCTCTCTCTCCCTCTGCAGCTCCCCCTGCTTGTGCTCTTTCTTTCATACTCTCTCTCAAATAAATAAAATCTTAAAAAAATTTCATGTCTAAATACTTCTAATAAAAATATATCAAATCTATTAGTCATCCTCCAAAATACAGTGTTTTAAACCCTTAAAGTAACCTGGTTTTGATATTTTTGATGGAAACATTTAAAGACATGACAGGTTACTCTTCCTTATATTACTTCATAAATCAATTACTTCATAGATTATGTTGGCTGTTGCTGTATTATTTTTTTTATAAGTATCTTCCCATATGATGCTATCTATAATGTCTATAACAAAACATAGTTGATGTTATGAAATCTATGGTCATATTACATTTCTTTATATGAAATAACATTAATAAGTCTTCTATTTTTGTGATTTGATACCTAAGCTAAAATTTACAACACCTATTTTTCACCATGGATTTTTTTCACCCTGGATATCTTCTAGCTTGTCCTTCTAGCTTGCAGTTCTATTCCATATCACAACAGGTTGTGATGTGCCATGTGGAGGATCACCATGCTATAATTGAGGTGGTAATAAATATGTCACTTAAGATGTGGTAGTTATAATTTTTCTTTAGAGGTCCTTAATTGGGGCAGTGAACAATCGGGCCATGATTTCCAATATTGTTGCACATGAGACTTCTTTAGATTGAATGAAATTGTTGTGGTTCTCCCACTGAGTTCACAGCCAGTCCCAATGGACGCATTTCAAAGCCTGACAACGGGAATCTAAATTCAGCATGTAAGAACGTGTCCATGAAACAACCCCTCAGGGATCCCAAATTATAGTTGTTCCATCTTGCGTTATTCTCAAATTGCTGATATGGCAGACAGCCACACTGTTCAAGGAATAAAAATACCTGTTTATAAATTAAAATGTTAGAGAGCTATTAGGTTCTGTTGTATGATGACCCAACATTCATGAGGGAAAAAAAATACATATCTTAAAGTGTATTCTCCAATTTTTATAGAAGAAATGAAGTGCAAATTTAAATATACAATGCCTTCAAATTAACAGGTTTTTAGCTTAAAAATTAAGTTACATTTCACGCACACACAGCACACACACAATAAAGTATATTGATTTAGAGGTCTTAGAGAAATCCTTACTGCTTCTTCCTCTTTTATAGGTAAAGAGGGAATTTCAATTTCCTGGGTCATAAGTCCAGTATTACATCTGCTGTAGTGTATGTGTGTGTGTGCATGCACACATGTGTTGAACATGCTGTTTCATTTTATACTTTATTTGCACTGAGATCTGTGTGATAAATAATGGTACAAAATTAGTAAAATATAGAAATAATTTTCTGGTTGTTAAACACCAGAAGTTCTATAGTATTCCTTTGTCCTATATCGTGTGTCTCTATTAAAATGGGAAGGGTGCTAATACTCAGTTTAAAAACTTAACGATCAGACTAATGCCAAAAATTCAAAATCCTTTTTACTATTGATGTCTTTGTGCCTTGAACTGTTTTTCAAACAGTGTAACATATGCAGTGAACTATAAATCACTGAGACAATAAACCACTAAATTTTTAGTAAAAAAAATAGGAGTCCATATCCTATTTTACTTTACAATATTACTCTTTAAAGCCCTATTATGGGAGTTAGAGAATTTACTTTTAAATACATAGGGAAAGTTGTACAAAAGATTTTCAATATTTTATTCCAATTTCCCTTCATAATGAGGAGGGAATATTTTAAAATAATGAAGTTTCAGGTTCTTTCAAGATGCTAGGCCTTAGTGTACTCTTCTTTAGATAATTGGGTAAAATACTGAAGAATAGAAAGCTATTAACAGCAACCCCATTAATCTTAATAGTGAAAAGGGAAAACAAGTAGAATAAATGCTGACATTTTCTTTTTTTCTTTTTAATAGCTATCAAAGTATGGTGTAAATTGGTGGATTGGACTTCGAGACGAAAGAGCCAATGATGAATTTCGGTATGGACCTAGATCAATTTGCATTTTATTTTGTTTGACAGGTTTTATTTGCAGAATGATTGGACTAGATCTTAGTGATCAATTGTTGAATAGCCTTCAAATATTATCTTTAACTTATGAATTTTCATTTCTCTAACCAAAGGCATGAGTATCTTTTTAATTTAATAAAAATTACCCCAGAACTCCAAGAATGGTATTGGAGATTGAACATAACAGAATAAAAGAAGACCCTAAAATTCTTAATTTACCTACAGCTGGAGAGATGGAGCACCAGTAATATATCAGAACTGGGACAAAGGAAGAGAAAGATCTATGAATAATCAGAGCCAGAGATGTGGTTTCATTTCATCCATAACAGGTTATTTTATTTATCCATTTTTCAGTTTATAACACAAACTGATAATTTTCAGAAGGCTTAAAGTCTCGTCTTCATTGCATTAGTTCAGTGAGAGGGTTTTGTTTGGCTAGCTTGCTTTATAATTGAATGTGATGAGTTTCATTAGTTTTAAGTGTTGATGATGGCCATTCCTATAGTTAATTCCATTCTTTCATGTTCTTGAAAATGAATTACAACCAGATAAGTCATTCCCCATGAACCAAAACAGCACCAGAAATAGACCCAATGAAACTGGTCAAAAATATGCCTGACAAATACTAGTCTCTAAAAAATTTCAATATGGGCCCATTTTTAAAATCTCTTCATAATAATTCAGTTATAATTGGCCAGAACTTTAACCCCCGTGGAATTTACTTCCACTTTCACATTTAAGAAAAATTTTCATTGAGTTCAGTATTTTTTTTTTTAATACCTGGCTTATTAACTGCTTCTTGACATAGAACACCAACTATCTCCAGGCTGTATTTAGAAATACATGTACCTTTAAGATGGGTTTTTTAATTTAATTCAATTCATTAGTACAGTGTTATTTGGGTTGATTTGTCCACTCATATCCATCCCACTCTTTTTATCCTATAAAAGGTAATTATGTTCCTGACCCTTAACAGATTCACAAGGAACCTGTGCCCCAAATCAGGAGAGGGGTAAACACAGAAAGCAATCCTTGGTGTAAGGGCATCTGCAGAGAAAGGAAAGGGAAACCCACATTGTTAATCAGCTCTCTTTTGCCAGCAGGTGTCACAACAGCCTACAGAAAGGCTGTTTTGTGATTCTGGAAGACTAGCAGCTACTCTGCATTGAAAATAGTGTTCCAGCCCTTCCTTCAAAATGCCAACATTTTTTGGCTTATATCCCTCACACTAGAAAACTGAAACTGCCTTTGCAATTTACATGCATCCTTGCCCTATTCGGGGATCTATAACTTGAATGCTAATGAAATGCATTCTATAACCTTTACTCTGAAAATATAGCTCTTCTAAATTAAAATACATTTTCCAGGAGGCTAAGGACTTTGGGATGTATCTTCTTGCGGGCATGTCTATGTGTGCCTCTTTTTTTAAGGGTCAGGTTGAAAAGTGCTTCTTCTTAGAAGTTACTGAGTTAATATTTCAAAATTATATATTTTCTAAAGAATTATAAATTAGAAATGATCATCTATTGTTTTAGAATTTTTTTCTCCTTATATTGAGTATTTTAAAAGAAAAATATTACTCTACATTCTTTTGTTAACCAAACCAAATATTCTCGGAACTTTAATCAGTTTTGTGATTTCAATTGTAGTATTTTAGTTAGTTGGAGTTTGTTTGTTTGTTTTGCATTTGCAAAACTTCTTCATTCTTGAATTAGATTTACCGATTTAGCACCCTGCTCAGTTTGTTCTTATTACCAGAGAACTCTACCATTAGCAGTTTAGTTCAATTTCTAGATTTAAAAAATTATGATAAACCATTAGCTGTCATAAAAATGTGATGGAGAATGCCTACAAGGAGTCAGCATTGTTTCAGGTCATTTCTAACTCATTTACTCCTCCAGGACTCTGGGCTAGTGAAGAGTGTTCAGTTTCTATGCCTAGCATCTGTAAGCGAAAGAAGATTTGGGTCATAGAGAAAGAGAAAGATACCCCAAAACAACATGGAACATGTCCTAGAGGATGGCTATATTTTAACTATAAGGTAAACTCATTTTCAAAAAGTTGCCTTTGTTTCTGTGTTGTCGATGTTTATTTTAGAACATAATCAAACAGTGGGTGTGGCTTTAAAAAACCAGGAGTTGTCCACTGGGACCTGAAATTTTTTTTGGTCACAACTTCCAAGAGATTTGAGTTTTCAATGTAGGTAGGGGCAAACCTCTAAGGAATAAAGAAACAGCCGTGACACCACCCTTCATTTGTATACTTAGTTTTTGCTATTGACACAGTCATTCATTGTGCTGTGTGACTGTTTCATTAGGTGTGACGCATGCAAGCCTGTGTAACTAGGCCCTGCCCCCAAATGAGCTGTCAACTCCAGAGGGTACAGGCTACATCTTCTCCTTTTGTGTCTTCCCTGCCTGAAGCAGGCACAGAGCTCCGCCTGCCTTGTGAATTGACCCACTAATAATGTAACTCAGTCAATGTCATCTTGAGCCTCATGAAGCTGGTGCTTCCATGCAGAATTGAAATTTTTTTTTTAAATTGCCAGTGGGAATATTGTAAACCAGATTTATTATTTCTGATACTGCCTCCAATTAAGGCCAAGACTTTCCCTCCACTCCTTATGTTTTATAATAAAATAACTTTATAGGCCTTAGGTGGAAGTAATTAAAATGCATCCCAAATTATAAATGTTTCATTCTTTGATAAAGGAAAAACCCAAACTGTGTCATGATTTAATATGTTAATATGAAATTGCTCTTTGACTGTGGACGGCCAGTTTTCAATCTGTATGTTCAGTTATATTTGGCAGAGCCTTCTCTTCTTTGTGATCCTCTTCTCATTGTTAATTTGTGATATGGGGCCATTAGGATTTTACATGTATTTGTTGAGCACCTAATACATATTTGGCATTGATTTTTTTAAATTGTGGTAAAATTCACATAATATAGAGTTTACCATCTTAACCATTTTTAAGTGTGTAGTGCAATATTATTAAGTATATTTACATTGTTATTCAATGAATCTGCAGATCTTTTTCATCTTGTAAAACCAAAACCCTAAATCCAATAAGCAATAACACTTCACTTCCCCTCCCCCAACCCCTGGCAAGCACCATTCTACTTTCTGTTCCTATTAATGGGACTATTTCAGATACTGCAGATAAGTGGAGTCATACATTATTTGTCCTTTTGTGGCTGCTTTATTTCACTAAGCAAATTGTCCCCCAAGTTCATCCATGTTAGAGCATGTGTCAGAATTTCCTTCCCTTTGGAGACTGAATAATATTCCATTATATGTATATACCATATTTTTTTCCACTCGCCCATTGATGAACATTTGGGTTTCTGCCACCTTGTGGCTAAGAATTTTTGCTGGGTGATTTAATATATATATCTTATTTTATTGAATTTTTTTAAATACACAGAATTGTTATCCCATCTTATATATGAGAAGACCAAGACTAGTAACATTGTGTGTTTTTTATGAAACTTCACAGCAAATAAGTGTCAGGTTGAGAATCAACCTCAGGTTTTCTGACCTTGAGTCTGGTAGTCTTGTCTCTTTCCTACAGTTGCCATTTTGTATAAGAATTTAAGAATTACCAGACCAGGATAGCCCCATGACACAATCTGGTGGCACTCTGAGATATCTTCTAAAATATAGTTGTTTTCTAAAATTTTATGGTATTGAGATACATTTTTAATAGTTAATATTTTCTGTCTGATTCCTATTTTCCCAAACTATAAAATCTACCAGTTATACATTTCAATATAAAAAATGTAGCAAGTATTCAATAGAACACTGAGTATTACCAAATCTTGAATTAAAACCTTTGACAATTAGTTCTTTTTAAAGCTATTCTACTGTGGTAACATATATTTAAAATAAAATATGCCATTTTAACCATTTTTAAGTGTACAATTTAGTGGCATTAATTACATTCACAATGTTGTTCAACCATCCCCTTTATTTCCAAAACTTATCATCATCCCAAACAGAAACTCTGTAACTATTAAGCAATAACTCCCAATTCCCCATCCCTCCGGCCCATGGTGAGTTCAAATCTATTTCCTATCTCTGTGAATTTGCCTGTCTAGATATTTCATATAAGTGAATTCATACAATATTTGTCCTTTTGTTTCTGGCTTATTTCATCCTGCATAATGTTTTCAAAGTTTATCCATTTATAGCATGTATCAGAACTTCATCCCTTTTTATGACTGAATAATATTCCATGCCACATTTTGTTTTTCCTTTCATCTGTTGATGGACTTAGGTTGTTTCCACTTTCTGGTTATTGTCCACTTTCTGGTTATTGTGAATAAATCTGCAGTGAACATTGGCATACAGCTACCTGCTGGAGTCCCTGGTTTTCACTTCTTTGGGGTATATGCCCAGGAATGGAATTGCTACATCATATAGCAATTCTATGTTTAACTTTTTGAGGAACGAGTAAACTGTTTTTCACATGGCTGAACCATTTTAAAAGCCTGCCAACAGTGTATGTTAGCAATTTCTCCACATCTTTTTTTTTTAAGATTTTATTTATTTATTTGAGAGAGAGAGAGAGCACAAGCGGGGGGGCGGCAGAGGGAGAAGCGGACTTCCCACTGAGCAGGGACCCCAACTCGGGCTCGATCCCAGGACCCTGGGATCATGACCTGAGCCAAAGGCAGCCCCTCAACCAACTGAGCCACCCAGGTGCCCCTGGGTTGTTTGTCTTTTTATTGTTGAGTTGTAGGAGTTCTTTATATATTCTAAATATTAAGGTCCTATCAGATACATGTTTTGCAAGTATTTTCTCCCATTCTATAGGTTGCCTTTGCTAATGTCCCTTGATGCACAAAAGCTTTAATTTTACGGAAGTCCAATTTATCTAATTTTTCTTTTGTTATTCATGCTTTTGGTGCCATATCTAAGAATAGGTTGCCAAACCCAAGGTCATAAAAATTTACTTCTTATGTTTCTTCTAAGAAGTTTATGGTTTTAGCTCTTATATTAAGGTCTTGGTCTATTTTTAGTTAATTTTTCTGCCTTGCAACTATTAGAACAGATGAATCCTGGAGTGTTCTGTATGGAACAGCCACAAAGGAATACCTATCTTGTCTCAAAATCACACTTTTGCTGCAGACAGTGAGCAACCCCAAAGTATGAACACAACTGTTTTAGTTACTAATCATAAATTCTCCCATATATAAAGGAGGACATTTTAAGGAAATTCACAGCAAATCAAATCCTTGGCATTAGAGAAATAATTCTCAGAAACTCTCAAAGGTTGTTTTTGGTTCAGGCCTTGGTTATTACCCTCCCCCCAAACTTTTATATCTGCACAGCTTAACTCCAGTCCATGTTTTCTCCTGCGTAAGCAGATTGAGTATCTATGTATAGAGACATGGTAGCAGTGATGGTGGAGCAGACTCCAGGCAAGGGAGCAAATGAATGCCTCCTTTGAAAGGAATAGAAAGGGGCATGAGTAAAGCGCAAACACATACATGAGAGGAGAAAGACTTTCTGAAGCAGGATTGGAGCAGGATTAAAAACCCTTGTGTAGCTCAAAGTTTAAAAAAATCTTTATTGATAATTAACAGCTAGATTAGTGGTTCACAGCCCTGATCAAATATTTAGAATCACCCCTGAGCGTTTTAAAAATGTCAAGGTGCAGGGGACATCCTAAAGATTCTGATTTAATTGATCTACATCAGATCTACGTATCAGTGTTTTGTTTTTGTTTTTTTGCAAATTATTTCCATATTAGTCAGAGTTTCGCTTTTTTTTTTTTTAAAGATTTTATTGATTTACTTGACACAGAGAGAGAGACAGCTAGAGAGGGAACACAGCAGGGGGAGCAGGAGAAGCAGGCTCCCGGCTGAGCAGGGAGCCCGAGGCGGGGCTCGATCCCAGGACCCTGGGATCATGACCCAAGCCGAAGGCAGACGCCCAATGACTGAGCCACCCAAGTGCCCCTACGTATCAGTGTTTTTTAAAAGCTCCCTCAGTTATTCAACTGTGCAGCCAATATTTGCCCAGCAACACAACAGTTGCACAACTTAGTCTTTGAATCATCCAGAGGATTTGACTAATAAATACAGTCACAGCAGGCTACCTGAAAAAGGTGATCTTTTGCAGAGTGAGGTTACAGGGTCCCCAAGTGTCCCCACCCACCACGCCTTCCCGTGCATAGAGATGGCTAAAATCCCACCATTGGAGTCTCACTCCTTTGCTTTGACTCTATATTTTTAAGGGAAATATTTCTGAGATTGTCTCATCTGTCATCTACACCTTGGAATAAGTGGGCTTATCAGATCATTAGAAAAACTGATAATAAGAGGATTGAAAACGGAGAGGAGGAGAGCCCCATGGGGATGGCTCCCCTGATTAACAAAGTTACAGAAGGAAAACTGGGAGGTAGCAATGACAGATATTATTCACATCACAGTTCTGAATGAGCATCAGTATGGTATGTCCCACTAAATTTTGCTTCCTGTTTGTCAATTTCCTAGGGCTAATTTTTTGGGGTTTTTTTCTAAGAAAAAAATCCTAGTTGGTTGACTGATTATCCACCATTAAGAGTTTTAAAACTGAGCTACCAGAAGTTAAGCATCTTTTCTAATGTTTCATCAATTATTTTCTCTGTGATGATATATGAGTTTTGACCCGGGATTACCCCTAGAAGAGTGTGTCATCTAAGATACTTATCACAGCAGAGCTGTAAGCAGAAAAAATTCTAAGTGTGCATGTGCTTGTGTGTGTATTAGGTTAACTCTTACGCTTCTACTCACACATTTTTTTAAAGATTGACTGATTGATTGATTTGAGAGAGAGAGTATAAGCGAGGGAGAGAGAAAGAACAGGAGCGGGGGCATGGGGGGAAGAGCAGAGGGAAAAGCAGACTCCCCGCTGAGCTGGGAGCCCGATGCGGGACTTGTCCTGGGACTCCAGGATCATGACCTGAGCTGAAGGCAGACGCTTAACTGACTGAGCCACCCAGGTGCTCCTACTCACACATTTTTATACAAGGATCTGGATTGAGTGCTAATG